GCGCGCCGCTCCTCACTCCTCCTCGTTTCCCCCGACGACTGCTCCTTTGCAGACGCTCCACATGGACGTGTGGGGCCCAGCCCGCGTCCGTGGTCAGGGTCAGGAGAGGTACTTCCTGATCGTTGTTGACGACTACTCGCGCTACACCACGGTCTTCCCCTTGCGCACCAAGGGTGAGGTCCCTGATGTTTTGATCCCTTGGATCCGCAGAGCTCGTCTCCAGCTCAGCGAGCGTTTCCGCTCGGACTTTCCTGTCCTGCGCTTGCACTCTGACAGAGGTGGTGAGTTCTCCTCCGACCTCTTGGCAGCCTACTGTGCTGAGCACGGCATTGAGCAGTCGTTCACGTTTCCGGCCTCTCCACAGCAGAATGGGGTTGCGGAGCGCCGCATTGGCCTGGTCATGGAGGTCGCTCGTACCTCCTTGATCCATGCGGCTGCCCCCCATTTTCTGTGGCCGTTTGCGGTCCGGTACGCTGCGCATCAGCTCAACCTCTGGCCCCGTGTCTCCTTGCTGGAGACCTCGCCCACACTGCTGTGGACGGGGGAGGTAGGCGATGCATCGCGTTTCCGGGTCTGGGGATCTCGAGCTTTTGTTCGCGATTCGTCTACGGACAAGCTCTCCTCTCGTGTTATTCCCTGCGTCTTCCTCGGCTTTGTTCCGGACGCACCTGGTTGGCAGTTTTACCACGCCACCTTGCGCCGGGTCTTGCCCTCTCAGGACGTCACTTTTGACGAGTCTGTCCCCTACTACCGCCTCTTCCCCTACCGCACTTCCCCGCTCCCTCCCCCGCCTCTCTTCCTCGCGCCAGGTGCTGCTGTCGTAGACCCCCTCCCCCCTCAGGGTGCCGCTCCCTCAGATGTGTCTCAGGTAGACCCGGTCGAGCCTGTTGAGGTTGCTGTCGACTCTCGTCCTGCTGGGGGTGCTGAGCCTGGGGGTGCGGACACTGGGGGTGCTGAGCCTTGGGGTGCGGACTCTGGGGGTGCTGAGCCTGGGGGTGCTGACTCTGGGGGTGCTGAGCCTGGGGGTGCGGACACTGGGGGTGTTGAGCCTGGGGGTGCTGTGCCTGGGGGTGCTGAGCCTGGGGGTACGGTGACTGGGGGTGCTGAGCCTGGCGGTACTGCGCCAGGGGGTCCTCCGCCTGGCCGAGACCTCTCCTCGGAGCAGTTGCGTGAGTGGTACTTACAGTACTGCAGCCTCCGGAGGGGTACCTCTGGGACCAAGCGCGCTACGGAGACTGGTGCTGGCACTTCTCCTTCTAGTCGGGAGCTCCCCTCTCGTGAGCGGATCCGTGAGTGGTACGAGCGCCGTTGCACACTTCGTAGTGGCGCGCCTCGTCTCACGGACCCTGCTGCTGCTGGTGCTGCGGACCCGGGCATTGGAGCTGCTGCTGGTGCTGCGGACCCGAGTGTTGGAGCTGCTGCTGGTGCTGAGGACCCGGGCGTTGGAGCTACTGCTGGTGCTGAGGACCCGGGCGTTGGAGCTGCTACTGGTGCTGAGGACCAGGGCGTTGGGGCTGCTGCTGGTACTGCGGACCCGGGCGTTGGAGCTGCTGCTGGTGCTGAGGACCCGGGCGTTGGAGCTGCTGCTGGTGCTGAGGACCCGGGCGGTGGAGCTCCTGCTGGTACTGCGGACCCGGGCGTTGGAGCTGCTGCTGGTGCTGAGGACCCGGGCGTTGGAGCTGTGACTGGTGCTGAGGACCCTGGTGTTGGAGTCCCTGCTGGTGCTGCGGACTCGGGCGTTGGTACTGCCGCTGGGGGCACTGGTGCTGTCCCTGCTGTGTCTGGAGTCGCCGCGCGCCCTCAGCCGTACTTCGTTCCGCTCCTTCAACAGGTTCTTGGTCTCTCGCCTCCTCCTGGTCCTCCCCCTCCTTTAGTGTGTCCACTGCCTGTTCAGTCACTGCCTGCTCCTTCTCCTTACTCTGGTCCTACTGACGGTCTTACTGAGCGTCGTGAGCCTGCGTCTCGCCCTGCGTCGCCTGTCCGTCCTGCTAGCACTGGAGCTCGTACTTCGCGTCCACGTCCTCCTCCTGCCCCTGGCACGCACTGGATGTCTCTGCGTCCGTCCACTGCCCCTCTGCGTGCCCCTTTGCCTTCTCCTCCTGCTTCCTCTCTTCCTGCTCTTGCCGACCCGGAGTCGGACTCTCTTCGTGCTACCAGTCCTACTGTCACGCGTCTCCTTGCTACTGCCGTTACTGACCCTTCTTTCGAGTCTTCTGCTGCGTCTGCCCTAGTTGCTGAGCTCGTCGACTTTGCTGCTCGCTGTCGTCTTGACTACGCTGCTAGTCTTGTCGCTGAGTCTGAGTCTGTCTGTCCTCCGTCCGTCGGGGGTGCCTGTGCCCTTGGCACGGACGTCCTTGAGGACAGGCAGGAGGAGTTTCAGTGCTTGGCTGCCGCTTCACCTCATCTCGCGTCTGTACTGCTAGCTCCTGAGGGAGACCCGGATGCACTAGACATCCCGACTCCGCGCTCTTACGCGGAGGCGATAGAGGGTCCCTACTCCTCTCAGTGGCAGGCAGCTATGGATGCAGAGATGGCTTCCTGGAAGTCCACAAGCACCTACGTTGACGCTGTCCCCCCTCCTGGGGCGAACATCGTCAGTGGCATGTGGATCTTCAGGGTGAAGCGGCCGCCGGGTTCTCCGCCTGTCTTCAAGGCGCGTTACGTGGCTCGTGGCTTCAGTCAGCGGCAGGGAGTTGACTACTTTCAGACCTTCTCCCCCACCCCGAAGATGACCACTCTTCGGGTACTCCTGCACGTTGCTGCTCACCGGGACTACGAGCTTCACTCTCTCGACTTCAGCACTGCTTTCTTGCAGGGCAGCCTGCACGAGGAGATCTGGCTGCGTCGCCCACCTGGCTTCACTGGGTCTTTCCCTCCTGGTACCCAGTGGAGTCTCCGGCGTCCAGTCTACGGTCTCCGCCAGGCACCACGTGAGTGGCACGACACACTGAGGACCACGCTGGCGGCACTTGGGTTTGCTCCTTCTACTGCCGACCGGTCGCTGTTTCTGCGCACCGACACTTCTGTGCCGCCGTTCTACATCCTCGTGTACGTCGACGACTTGGTCTTTGCCACTGCTGACACTGCTGGACTCGCCTACGTGAAGTCCGAGCTGCAGAAGAGACACACGTGCACTGACCTGGGTGAACTGCGCAGCTACCTTGGCTTCCAGATCACACGGGACAGAGCACGCCGCACCATTACCCTGACTCAGTCACACATGGTGCAGCAGGTCCTTCAGCGCTTCGGCTTCACGTACTCCTCGCCTCAGGCCACTCCTCTGTCTACTCGCCACTCGCTCTCAGCTCTGCCTTCGGATGAGTCCGTAGAGTCGAGTGGCCCGTACCCAGAGCTTGTTGGCTGTCTCATGTACGTGATGACCTGCACACAACCTGACCTTGCATACCCTCTTAGCATTCTTGCGCGCTATGTTGCTCCTGGGAGACACCGACCAGAGCACATGGCTGCAGCGAAGAGGGTGTTGCGTTACTTGTGCAGTACGTCGGGCATGGGACTAGTGCTTGGAGGGCGGAGTCCAGTGGTCCTCACTGGTCACGCGGACGCTTCTTGGGCTGACGACCAGGCTACGCAGCGGTCGTCACAGGGTTACACCTTCAGCCTTGGTTCCGGCTCTGTTTCGTGGCGGGCTACTGGCTCGTCTTCTGTTCTCGGCTCCAGTTGTGAGGCTGAGATCTACGCAGGGGCCATGGCTGCTCAGGAGCTTCGCTGGCTCACCTACCTGCTGACCGACCTTGGAGAGCCGCCTCGTTCTCCTCCAGTCCTGTATGTCGACAACAAGGCCATGCTGGCCTTGTGTCGAGAGCAGAGACTGGAGCACAGAACAAAGCACATTGCTCTCCGCTACTTCCTTGCTCGTGAGCTACAGCAGCGTGGTCAGTTGCGACTTGCGTACGTGGCCTCTGAGGCCAACACTGCTGATGTTTTCACCAAGGCACTTGCGCCTTGTGATCATCAGCGCTGCTGTACCCAGCTGGGTCTTGTGTCTGTCCTGCCTCACTTGCTCTCCTCTTGACCCCCTTTGTACTGTTACATATATATATCACTGCTCTTGCTTGTTTAGTCTTATATATATATGTGCTCCTGCATGTGAACTGGCCTTGTGGCCTTGAACTTGTGCTCGGATTGTGTGGTGACATTGTGATCCACCCTGAGCTTGCTTTGCTTTGCTTTGCTTTACTTGATTGGTCTTGTGACCCCTAGTTCTCCCCCACTTCGCCTATGGGGGTGTGTCAAACATTATATATTGTTGTAGTTGTTTATGCTACAGTGGGTTAGCCTATAGGGGGTACACACTTCTAGGTTTCCATATTTGTACTCATTTCATTCTTAGTCATTTCATTCCTTGTTCAACAAACCTGCTGCAGTAGTGATTATATATGGCGTGGAACCATATAAAAAAGCGCCACCATCAAAAGTTAAAATACGTTTGCGACTTGCGCGACGTTGGATGGTGTGAATGCAACCATTTGGGACGCATAAGACATTGCACAATTTTAGATGAAGTACCTCACGACTGTTGGCAACATCTGTTACTGCATAAAAGAATACACTTCATGTAGTGTACGTACCACAAAATGCAAATGAGTTCAGACCCTTATTTGGAGTTCAATAGCAAAACATGATCGATTTCCCATTGTACCGCGTCCTTGAGAGATTCACCAAGGGTCCCACACCCAACCCTAGACGGAACTTGGTGTTTCTCAAGATCGAGTCGAACTTGCTGCGGTGCACCGCTGTGAAATGTTTCAGACTACCTTGCTACCCATTCCGCTTTTGAGGTGACTTGCCATGTGGTGAAACCCCTATCTAGTTTCAGACTTGCACGCCACGTAAGACTGAGCCTTGGAGAAAACTGTAAGTCGTACACGTAGAATCACCTGTCTGCGCGGCCATCCTGCTGGACTTGGCCGTGATCTCCGTCGCGTCATCTGGTGTGTCAGGATAGAAAGGTATCGCAGTGCTTGACGCTCCTGGCGGCGATGGTCTCTACTCAAGTCAAGGGGCAGGAATCCGTAGTAGGCTAGTAACAGAGGACACATCCATGCAAATTCGGTCAGCGTTCGCTGAGTGATTCAGAGGACAAGGGTTGTTACCCGTCCGAGGTGCTAGCTTCCTGGGATCGTCGGTGGCTGCTCAAGGGATCTCCTTTCAACGCCAGTCAGATCTAGAGCGAACGCGAGTAAGTGTGAAGAGAGAAAGAAGCTGCTTTTCATTTTTTCGCTTGCACAGGCGGCGATGCCATGGCGACTCGTGTTTCCGTCTGAACGGCGATACTTTTCGCTCGTCCGAACGAACACCTTTAGCAAATGGAGCCTGATGTTCCTCGCAGCTCCTGCTTCGGTAACCTCACTTCTTTCGTCTCGTGCCCTTTTCGAACTTCTTAGCATCCGTATTGGACTGTGCGTGTGTGCGTGTGTGCGTGTGTGCGTGTGTGCGTGTGTGCGTGTGTGCGTGTGCGTGTGCGTGTGTGTGTGTGTGTGTGTGTGTGTGTGTGTGTGTGTGTGTGTGTGTGTGTGTGTGTGTGTGTGTGTGTGTGTGTTTTTTTTTTTTTTTTGCCGTCTTTCTCTCCTGACAGCGTCGCCCGGAGCGTTGCCGGCAGCGTCGCCCCCAACGTCTCTCGCAGTGTCGTCCCCTCGTCCATGTTGGCGGGGCCCCATCGGCTCACCACCGCCATAAAATCCTTCCTGCTGGCGCGCTGGTCTGCGCACATGGCGCAACAGGCGGAGCAGCAGGCGGACCAGCAGCAGCAGCAGCAGCAGCAGCAGCAGTGCAACGCCAACTCAATACACGTTCACGCCGCGGCTGTCCTGCCTCCCGCTGCGCCAGAGCCAGTAGGAGAGCCAGAAAGGGGTTATCTGGGGACGGCTGTACGTGAAGAGGCTGGGGAGGCGGATGAAGCGAGGGTGGAGAGGAAAGTTGTAGACAAGGGTAAAGCGAAAGTGATCGAGGGCGGTGGGTATGGAGGAGGGAGTGGAGGAGGGAGCAGCAGCGGGAGAAGAGAAGCAGTGGGGACGTTGGCGGGCGCGAGGGAAGGAGAGGGGATGGAGATAGAGGAAGGAGAGGTGGTTATGGGCGAGAGTGGAGCGGAGGAGGAAGAGGAGGAGGGGGAGGAGCGAGAAGAGGGGGAGGAACGAGAAGAAGGGGAGGAGATCGCGGAGTTGGTGACGGGCTGGGGATACGTTGGGGAGCCGCAACGGCAGCAGGGGCAGGGGCTGGAGCAGGAGCAGGAGCAGGGGCCGGAGCAGGAGCAGGAGCAGGGGCCGGAGCAGGAGCAGGAGCAGGGGCCGGAGCAGGAGCAGGAGCGGCAGCAGCAACAGCAGCAGCAGCGGCAGCAGCAGCAGCGGCAGCAGCGGCAGCAGCAGGAGCATGTGCAGCGGCAGGGGATGAGCGCGCTAGTGGAGTTAGAGGAGGATGTGCTGGTGAAGGTGCTCGAGTGCCTGCACTCTCCCGCTGACCTCTCCCGCTGCATGGCCTCATGCCGCCTGCTCAGACGCCTGGGTACGTACGTATGTGCGTGCGTGCTTAAGTGCTCATGTGCTCGTATGCTGCTGCTGTTGCGCGTGCAGCTCGGCGCCCTTGTTTCACTCGTCACTGAACGGCTGCCGCTACCGCTTCTCTCTGCAGCTCCTGCAGCGCATTCGCCCTCCTTGCGCCATGCCCCCCTCCTTGTCCCGCAGCCTCCACAGCGCCACCTTCGCCACTATCGCCACACTCCATATTCCCACCTTAGCCACCTTCGCTACCTTGTGCTACCTCTGTTTGGCTGGTTCTATTTCGCCCCCCTATCCGCCTTCTTACCAACTGATTTCCTTCTGTCCGTCCGTCCGTCCGTCCCCGCCCTCCCTCCCTCCCTCCCTCCCTCCCTCCCTCCCTCCCTCCCTCCCTCCCTCCCTCCCTCCCTCCCTCCCTCCGCCCCCCCCTCTCCTCCCTTCTCCCACTCCCCTTCCCCCCCTGCACCCCCTGCGCGCCAGTGATCGAGTCATCTCTCTGGCACGCGCTGGCGCTGCGTCTCTTCCCACAGCTCTCTCTCTTCATCGCCGTTCGCCCCACCAACTGCGCGCGTCCCCTCTCCCTCCACCCCTCCCGCCACTGCTCCGCCTCGCCCCCCTGCCCCTCCTCCTCCTCTGCTGCTGCTGGTGATGATAGTGCGCCGGCCGCTGTGTGTTTTAGGGAAATGCGAGGAAAGTGGTTGGAGGGCGAGGGGAGGGAGAGGTCGGGGGAAGCAGAGAGAGCAGGACCGAGCAAGGCGGATCATTCTCCTTCTCACCATCCTCCTGATCAGCAGCAGCAGCAGCAGCAGCAGCACGAGGCAGTAGTAGCAGGGGAGGGGTTGTCATGGGAAGTAGTGGCTGTGTCACGCTTCCTCTCCTCCCTCTGCTGGCACCTCACTACTCCTCTCGGCCTTACTGAATCAGCCCCGCTACCACACTCCACTACTAATTCCACCGCGGATTCCACCACCAATACCACCACTGCTTCTGGTGCTGCTCCTACTGCCACTGCACTCACCACCCGCAACGCCCCCACCACTGCTGATCCTGCTGCTGCTGCTGCTATGGACGTTGCCACTCCTGCTGCTGCTGCCACTGTTGCCGCTGCTGCCACTGCTGCTGCTGCTGTGTTACCCCAGAGCAACACGGGCAGGTCTTTTGCCCCAGTAGCATCAGAGATTCCCACAACATCTGCCTCTGCGACTGTATCGGCCACGAGCAACAGCAGCAGCGGTGCTAGCGGTAGCAGCGGCAGCTTGTCACCCACCAGTTCGAGCAGGGAGGGCCCGAGTCACAGCGCTGGCAGTGGCAGCGGCAGCGGCAGCGGCAGCGGCAGTGGCAGCAGCGGTGGGAGTGGCAGCAGCGGTGGGAGCGGCAGCAGCAGCAGTGGGAGCGGCAGTGGAAGTGGTGGTAGCAGTGGCGGTAGCAGTGGCAGTGGCAGTGGTGGTACGAGGACCGGGCTTCTGCGGCGGTTGCTACGACACCACAACACCCGCGCCCCTCCTCCCCCTGCTCCTGCCGCTCCTCCATCCCCGCCTCTTTCTCCTCCTCCCACCACCGCTCGTCTCCCCAACCGCAACCATCCCCACCCACCTTCCCCTGCACCACCACCTCCTGCTCCTCCTCCTCCATGCAGACGCACCTTTGGCCTGGCGTTTGATTGGGTGCCGTGCATCGGCAGTGCGGTGTGTGCTTCAAGCACCGACAACTATCCCGAGGAGGGCATTGAGAAGACACTGCAGGCGGAGGCGAGGTGGCCGGATCACGGCACGCCCTCGTACTGGTCCAGCAAGGGCCGTGCTGACCCCCTCGTGCCGGAGACTCTCACGTACCGGCTCTCGGCGCCGCTTTGCTTGGTGAGTGTGGTGGTTGGGGGCTGGTTTGACTGGTGAGAATTTTCAAATGTGACGCCCTCTTACTGGTCTAGTAAGGGCCGTGCTGACCCCCTCGTTCTGGAGACTCTCACGTACTGGCTCTCGGCGTCTCTCTGCCTGGTGCGTGTGTGGCGGGTGGCGGTTGGGTTCCAGGTGTGATGTGTGGGGTGGTAGGGGAAGCAGGGGAGAGGGAGGGGGAGGTGGAAGAGAGGAGGGGAGTGGTGTGAGATTGAAGTAAATTGAGTGGTGAGGGAGAAATGAGGATGGCTTTAGAGTGAAGGTATTTGATTGGTGAGGAAACAGGGGCAGAGCGGAGAGGGTTTGGCTGCTTTGCTTCCTGACATGAAGGTTTAGGTTCGCTCTTAATATCTTTCTGTCTTTGACTTGCACGCGCTCTATTCAATTATCTTTTTTCTTGTGTGTGTGTGTGTGTGTGTGTGTGTGTGTGTGTGTGTGTGTGTGCGTGCGTGCGTGCGTGCGTGCGTGCGTGCGTGCGTGCGTGCGTGCGTGCGTGCGTGCGTGCGTGTGTGCGTGTGTGCGTGCGTGTGTGTGTGACTGTTTTTGTGAACACAGGTTCGAGAATTCCATGTTCGTCCTTTTCAAGGTACGCACTTCCACGTCCTATTCTTCCCCCTCCATCATGGTTCTGCCTGCCATCCGCCTGCCAGCCATGGATCCACGTCCACCCACTCCCCTTCTCCTGCTAGCATCGCTCGCTTTCCCCTTCTACCACCTGTGGGAAACCTCAGCTCTTTTCCAACCACATCCCTCAGCTCATCTCATCTCATCTCATCTCATCTCATCTCATCTCATCTCATCTCATCTCATCTCATCTCATCTCACCTCACCTCACCTCACCTCACCTCACCTGATCTCACCTCACCTCATTTCACTGTCCCATCCCATCCCATCCCATCCCATCCCATCCCATCCCATCCCATCCCATCCCATCCCATCCCAACCCATCCCTCCCCCCCCACCAGCCTTCTTCCAGCGCGGCTGGCCCATCTACTCCTCGCGCTACGTGCGTCTGAGGCTGGGCTACCCGCGCGCACCACCAGGGGACCACACTCCCACTGACTTGAACAAGGCATATGCGAACCAAGCCCACAGTCACGCTAGGCTGGGGCACATGGGGGCGGTGGGGGGCAGTGAGGAGGCGGAGGACGAGTTTAGAGCAGCAGGCGGGTCAGGGGCAGCGCGAGACGGGTACACGTGGACCTATGTCTCTCCTCTCTTCCCCATGCACCAGGTGCCTGCCTTACCTTGCGCTTACCTTGCGCTTACCTTGCGCTTACCTTGCGCTTACCTTGCGCTTACCTTGCGCTTACCTTGCGCTTACCTTGCGCTTACCTTGCGCTTACGTTGCGCTTACCTTGCGCTTACCTTGCGCTTACCTTGCGCTTACCTTGCGCTTACCTTGCGCTTACCTTGCGCTTACCTTGCGCTTACCTTGTGCTTACCTTGTGCTTACCTTGTGCTTACCTTGTGCTTACCCTGTGCTTATCTTGTGCTTACATTGTGCTTACCTTGTGCTTGCCTTGTGCTTACCTTGTGCCCACCTTGTGCTTACCTTGTGCCTACCTTGTGCCTACCTTGTGCTTACCTTGTGCCTACCTTCACTCGCACTTTACTTCCCTAAAACATTCTTTCTTGTGTTTCTGCCCGTCCACTGCTTTGTCCATGCACCTGCTCTCACTCATTCCGTTCCCCTCCAACATCCCTTCCCTTCCCTTCCCTTCCCTTCCCTTCCCTTCCCTTCCCTTCCCTTCCCTTCCCTTCCCCTCGCCTCCCCTTCCCTTCCGCCCCCCCCCCGCCTCCCCCCCCGCCCCGTCCGCTCACTGCCCACTTCCCAATGCATCCCTCAGGTGGATTCCCTGCAGCGCTTTGTGTTGCCAGAGGTGCTGCTGGCGGTGGGAGGCGTGGCGCAGGTGAATTGAGGGTGTTTTTGAGACGTCTCAAAAACGCCGCCCACTTCCCCGTGCATCCCGCAGGTGGACTCGCTGCAGCGCTTTGTGCTGCCAGAGGTGGTGCTGGCCGTGGGAGGCGTGGCGCAGGTGGAGTTTGTGGGGCGCATGCAGACCCAGCAGTTTGACGACCTCTACTACATCTGGTGACCTGCTGCCGCTCTGCATGCCGCCCTGCATGCCGCCCTGCATGCTGCCCTGCATGCTGCCCTGCATGCTGTCTGAATCGAATGCCATGCCTCACTGCATGCCGCCTCGCTGCATTCTTTATGTATACTTCCCCTGCTCCCGTCGGTACTCCCTGTCATCCCTCTCGC